TATTAATCCCAATGGCAGTCTATAAAGTTGTATGTGATTCAATGCATATGTTTCTTTCTTTTTTTTAAAGAGAGATTTTGGTTATAGGGTGTGTATACTCTCTGGAGAGACAGAGAGAGAGACAGAAAGGAGAGGTCATCCCTCAGGGAGAATGGCCATGCTGCAATCCCTTCTCCTCCATTCTCTTCTTAGGATCTTGGGCCAGGAACACGCATTTGCCCAGTGTGATTTTTGAAACCACTGAGTCTGAGACTCGAACCATGGTCAACTATGTGGTAGTCCAGCAACATAACCATTATGCCATCTGCTAGTCCTGTCATTTCTTAATTTATTCTTTTAATACCATGACCTCTGGTGATCCATATAAAGGACTCCTGTGGGGCCAGCAGATAGAGGTTACTTGAGTGGACTCCTACATGGCCAATCACAGTTTTAGTCCCAGACCCCGTGGCTTGAAAATCATGCCAGGCGTCTGTCGGTGTGCATGCCCAAGATCCCAGGAGAAGAATGGAGAAGAAGGGATTGCAGTGTGGCCATCCCTCCTGGGCGGGAGGGTGATTTCCTGCTTTTCCTCTCACTGTATCTGTCCCTCTGTCTCCAGTGAGCACATGTGCCCTAAGGTGAACACCTTTAAAAAAAAAAAACCCAAAACAAAACCTCTTGTATTGGGTTGTTGGAAAAGTCATGAAGTATTTTTCTATGTAAAAATGCATCATAACTTTTCTGATGATCCAATATTATATTTCATATAGATTCCTTTGAGTGCTTAGAAGACCCGCAGATCAACCATCATTCCACTATTGCTCCCAGAGACACGGGAAATAAACTACCTCAGTAAGGAAGCTGCTTTAGGTGTTGTCCTTCCTTTTTCAGAATGGTGAGAGAAATCATGGCTTCCAACAGGCTATACCCAGGGCATGATGTTTACAGGAAGGCGAGAATCGGGCCTATTTTCCTTATGTTAAAGAAATCTGTCGTGTCTGAAAACGTCCCTCTACCAAGCCCTTCACATCCTAAACATGAGTATCCATTCCCTCGAATCAATAAACTAATCCTCTTGGTCTAATTAATGGGATTGAGTTATCTGAAAGACTACCTTTCTCATGAGGGAAACACATAGCGATCTGCTTGGGAGATGAAATGAAAGGTTTTCTAGTGAAGATATCTAACTACTAAGAGAATTGTTGAGATTACCTTGCCGTGTTTAGCTTTAACAAAATAAAATGTATACACCTAGGCTCCGTGCTGGAAAGGGAATGAGAAGGGAAACAGAATAAAGAGAAGTCAAATATTCCAATTATTATTATTATTTTTTAAACCTTCACCAGAGGGCACGTGTGCTTGCAGAAAAAGAGCGAAAGCTAGAAGGCACCGTCCATGAGGCATGGTCATGCCACTGTCTCTTCTCCTCCTTCTCTCCCCTACTTCGGGGCTTTTGGACACACATGTGCACACACCTGGCCTGTTTCTGCTGCCAGTCCAGGTTTTGAACTGTGCAGTTGGACATATGAGGTCCAGTTGCCTTAACTACCACACCACCAGCTGGCTCAACTTTTCTTTACAAATAGAAACGCAATGGGTGCATTTAAAATTAAAAAATTATCTGAATGTATAATGCATGTAATGAAATGAAATAAAGTAATGAAAAATTATCTGAATTCCACAAGAGGAATTATTTGGTAATATTAGAAATTAAAGGAATTAATTTATCTGATATATATCTTATTCAATTGACAAACTGACTTAATAATACCGATACTGTCTGTTATGAGCTCACGTAATGACTTATACTAGGTGACATTGATATAATGAAAGATTGTATTAAAAAAAATCAAGCGGGCTGGGGGACCAGTAGATGGCATAATGGCTATGTTGCTGGACTCCCATGTAGTCGACCATGGTTCGAGTCCCAGATCCAGTGGCTTAAACTCACCAGGCATGTATGCGTGCATGCCCAAGATCCTGAGAGGAGAATGGAGGAGAAGGGATTACGGTGTCGCCATTGCCCCCAGGGGGTGATTTCTCACTTTCTGTCTCTCTGTCTCTCTGGCAAGCACACATCCCTACAGCAAAAACTGTTCAAAAAAAAAAAAAAAAAAAAAGAAAAGAAAGAGGCTGGCAAGTGGTGTGGTGCTTAGAGTGCTAGATTCCCACATGGCCAACCATGGTTCTAGTCCTGGACCTGGCAGCTTGCTTTCTCACACTCCCTTTCTCTCACTAGTCAAATTTAAAAATAATAATAATGAATAAAATTAAACTTCTTTTAAAAATAAAATCAGGATTTTTACCATAGAAGTCCATAGCTGTTAATAATATGCCCAATGTTCCAAAGAATTAAGATCATTATTCTGTAACAATGTATTTGTCTACTTGTTTTTAGTACCTTACAGTTAAATGATTTTGGGGAAATTTGTCAACTTATGAAATTATATTGAGACACTTTAAGTTATCCTTTGGTTCAATCTGTATATTCAAAGGAATAGCAGCTTATACATATATTTTCAAACAGCCATGGCTCTTACAATTTGAAATGACTTTTCAGGAACTATGCCACTTGAATAGAGTTCAAAGACTGAAGACTACATTGAGGAAAATTGAGTTTAGGATACCATTTTTTAAAATGTCATTTCTGGACAGAGTCAACAAAACAAGATTTGTAAAGTAAAGTTTTAATTGCAAAGAAGAAAACAAAAAACAAAAAACAAACAAAAAAACAAGCTAGCAACCACAAATAAGGACTGCCTCTTTAAAAACCAAGCCCTCTACAAATCATTATCTCAATTTTTGCAAAAGCCTCATTAGTGATTAATGTATTGGCCACGGGTATACGCACACTTTAGTCTAATGTTGCATTTAGCTCATTAGCTTATAGCTTGTAATGTTATTATTCGATCTTCATTCGTGGGCAGTACAAGTAGAAACCTGATACAACTTCGTTGTCATTGTGCCATTTGCACACTGTGTGATGCTTAACAAAACCTTGTGTCCCAACAATGTATAAACTGGTCTGACAATAATCATCTCAAATTGACTCCATTTTAGAAAACACAGGCAAAGACTTTCAGCATCACAGAGGATTTAATTTTGGATTCATTGTGTGCCTCGTGGTTGTCATACTATGACCAATGACCAGCCCTAGTAGATTGTGCTGGCTAGGGGTGCTCGCTGGCTTTTCTAGACCAAGTGGTATTATTGAAGGACGAAGGGATTGCTGATCCTTGAGCTACCCATTGCTCTGAGAGAAGCATCAGGAAAAACAGAAAACAGAAACAAAAGGGGGCTAGCAATGTCCTTTGTCACAAGGAAGGTAAAAACAGATGTGCAGTTGTGATTTTATGCAGCACATCTGTCCATAGTCCCCAGTAGGGCCGATTTCTCTATGAGACACATTAGGTATAATGGCTATGACCCACAATACTTTTGGCAGTCCATATGAAAAATCTATAACTTTGATCATTTTTAAATTCACGAATGAATATGAAAGAATATAATAATGATGATTACATAGTAAGGATCCAGGCTGGGTTATATCATTTTTTGTAACAATATAGTTACAAGGTAAAATTCTCTTTCTTTCCTTTTTCCTTTCTCCCTTTCTTCTTTCTTTTCTTTTCTTTTTCTTTTTTTTTAATGGAGAAAGAAACCAACAAAGGCAGACCCATACATGTCTAAGGCCCATGAAAGTCATATTCAGCCCTAATCAGCTCTGGGGATCTGATGTCTGTCAGAAGCCTTGACACCTTCCTTTCATTAGCTCTGAAGACAAGTCACACCACCTATTCTCTATTCACGGTTGTATTCTGTGTGAACCTGAACCAGTAGGTGTCACAAGTTTTAGAAAGAAGAAAACAGGATCCTGTATTCTCAAGCTCTTTATAATCTAAGCGCAGAGACGAAATCAGCTGTTGACAACAGGTGCTTTGCAGTTGTTCATTCATTTGGACATTTCTTTTATGAGTTAATTACTCGTAACTCCCTTGTGAACGATCTGCACATCTGGGAAAATAAAACTGCCCACTGAAAGTGAACTACTAGAGCGTAGGTGAAATACAATAGTTAATTCATTTAGATACCCTTAAAAGGCTTAACAAAAACTTGGAAGCACTTAGAAGTTGGGCTTCTTCGTGTCTGAAGAATGAGCTAGCATCGGGCTGAAGACAGCAATGTGGAAATATGTGATTCCAATTCAGCATTCCAACCCCGATACTTTCAGAGTCACCCATTGTCTCGTTTCCACAGCCACCTTTCTCAGGGCTGCCTATTGATCAAGTATCACTAGACCTTATCAGTAAAATGCTCTGTGTTTGCTTTTTAAGAGCTTCAAGGGGCCAACCAGTGGCCCAGTGGTTAAGGTGGTGGACCCCCACATGGCTGACCATGGTCCTAGTCCCAGACCCAGAGGCTTGAAACTCATGCCGGGTGCATGTGTGTGCACGCCCAGAACCCCTAGAGGAGAGTGAAGGAGAAGGATTGTGTGGCTGTCCCCAGGGGAGTGTGTATGTGTAAGTCCTCGCTTTGTCTATCTTTCCCACGAGAGCATGCACCCTGTAGCAAAAATCTCCCTTAAAAACAAAAACAAAAACAAAAAAAGAAAAACAAAGAAAAAGAGCATAGAGGTTTTTGTTTTGTTTTGTTTTGTTTTGTTTTTTTTCCAATGTCCAAACTAACAAAAATCCTAAAACAAGATAAAAACTCTTATTTGGGAAAACAATTCCCAAGTGTGATTTATCACATACCTACTTCCACTATATTATTATTATCGTTTATATTGCCAGAGGCATGTGCACTCACCAGTAGAGAGAGAAAACTCCTCAATAGGGCATTGCCATGCCACAATCCTTTCTCCTCCATGGCTCCACCCAATCAAGACGTGGAGCACGCACAAGCACATACCTGGTGTGTTTCTCAAGCTGCCAGCTGGGGGTGAAAACCATGATCAGCCGTGTAGGATCAGGTCTCCATGTTCAGGGCTTAACCATTGCACTACTGGCCAGCCTTACACTTTGAATGTAACAGTAGATCTTGGAAATGAGGTTTTGAGGCAAAAATTCCTTACTCTCCTGTCTCAGCTGTTCAGTGGAGGGGATCGGTGGCACGATCTCTGAAATTCTCTCCAGCCAGATGATTCTGGAATGAGGTATAAACCAATCTCCACTGCTCTGGTACAGGACTTTTGTAACAACTCTTCAAAATGAGTATGAGGTGAAATCGCAGGGCAATGATCTTCAACAACAGTCGGTTGAGAGATGAGAGAAAATACAAAAGCTTCTCTTTATACTTACATTTAGCTCATCCCTTATTTTATATTATAATATGTGCAATAATACATGAAACAAGTACATATACCTGTATACATATGAAGGAACTTCAGAAAGTGTGTAGATGAATAGAATAAAGTATAAGTTTATTCTGGTGCAAAGAAATTTTGAAATCTATATAATTTTTCCATAATATGCATTTTTCATGAACTTTTTGAAACCCCCCTGTGTGTGTGTGTGTGTGTGTGTATGTATTCACATACATATACAATATCTACATACACACACACAGATCTCCATATACATACATACATATAAAATATTTTAGTAAAGGGGATTAATCACAAAATATATCCACAACATTTTGTATCTCACGGTTTTTAAAAAATTTTTTTTTTTAGAGAGAGATTTTTGCTACAGGGTACCTGCACTCGCCAAAGAGACAGAAAGCAAAAAATCGCCCCTCAGAGAGGTTGGCCATGCCACAATCCCTTCTTCTCTTGGGATTTGGGCATGCATGCATGTGCGCCTGGTGTGAGTTTTAAGCCACCAGGTCTGGGACTTGAACCACAGTCAACTATTCGTGAGTCTGGTGATATGACCATTACACCACCTGCTGGTCTCAGTATCTCATGGTTTTAAGGTAAGATAAAAGGCGTGGAGAACAAATACATCTGTTATCAACTCAGTTCGCCAGGTGATATTTGGCAAAGGATTTAAGACTTTATTATCTGGCATTACCTTTCACACCATTTGGTTCAAAAACATTTAGTTTCAAGTATGCAAAGTTAACTTGGGATAAAGTAATTCAATCTGTTCTCCACCAAATACCCTAGATCAGCTAAAGCCTGGGAAAACCTCAGCAGGCTGAGAGCCTGGACTCTGCCCCATCCTGTAAGCTGGAGTCCATTATTTGGGGCATAGCTTTATGTCTATGATGGCTGGAGCGTGGCTTTTGTGGACAAGTAGAACATTTATATGACTCACTAAATTCAATGATTGAATTTAACTTTATTTATTTATTTACTTATTTTAACTTGACCAGAGACGGACAGAGAGAGAGAAGAGAGAGAGAGAGAGAGAAAGTGATAAAGTAAGCCGCTAGGTCTGGGACTTGAACTGTGGTTGGTCATGTGGGAATCCAGCATCCTTAACCAGCACGCCACCTGGAGGCCCCATGACTCACCACATTTTCCCCCTATTTATGTGGTAGGACTCAAACACCACCCCCTCAATACAGAGATATTCATTATTCAACAACTCTTATTGAGATCTTCACTTAATAAATAATGATATCAATAGATGTCTTCATTGATACCATATATTTTAAAAACTTACGGCTTTCTCCCTAGTTTTTATTTATGCAGGGAAATTTTGGAGCTGTCTTTAATTAACATTCTCATATACAAACTGACAAATCACCACTTGGATATTTAATAATTTTATTTTCTCAAAGTAGAAATTCTTCCTTTTACTTTTGGTCATTTTCAAGAGAATGGCCATCTACTTGAGATACTTTATGTGTGTCCTCAGAAGTTTAATTGAATGGGGCCAGCTCGTGGTGTGGTGGGTGAGGCACTGAACTCCCACATGGCTGATCATGGTTCAAGTCCCAGACCTGACAGCTTGAAAATCACTCTGGGTGGGTATGTGTGCATGCCCAAAATCCCAGGAGAAGAATGGAAGAGAGGAGATTGTAGCATGGCGATTTCTCACTTTC